TGATTTTGATTATTATTAATCCGTCTGTTTTTTAAACATTCAATATCAAACCCAAAAAGTACTACACCAGAAAATGCCGATTTATTATTGTTGTACAATTTCTATTTTGTTATAAATATATAGTAAGTATATATTGTATAAACATAAACAATTTATTGATTAATTTAATACCAACTTCTAAAAATAAAGTCGCAACATTACTTGCGGATTTATTACTTGATACAGAATTTTTTTTTTTATTTTTATCATCCCATGTTATTGTAAAGATTACTTGATCATCCAGGTTTCAGCAATAATATCTACACCACTAATATTAACTCCAACTAAATATCCATTCAGAATTAGATAACAACTTCTTTGAACATCACACAGACCAGCCGTGATGAATATTATTGGTAAAGATCTTCACATGTGATTTGCAAACATCACCAAATGAGTCCGATCAGCCCATATGATAAACTCTATCAAATTAGAAATAACAATAATCGGTGCCATATTGAAACTAAAAACTTATGGCTAGTGTAAAGAGTGACCAAAATATAGTTTGTTAATATGATTGCTATGCCGAGCACTCGCTTTAAACCAAAGAAAATACAAAAATATTAGTTGTTTTACTTGTTTTTATATATAATCTAAATTTTAATAGTTGAAATCAAAAAATCAAGTCTTTTCAAGGTATAGTGAAAAAAAAAGACAAAAGACATAGTGAAAGCATCAAATGCCTTGGACGATCTCATTAGCAGAAAATTTTACGAACTCACATCATGTAATTATGGATAGATTAGTGGAGCAACCAAAATTCAGCAGACCGACCAGAATTTAGGGTCGGAATAGACCCGGAGCTAGGCCGGCATTAAGCAATAATACAAGCCAGCTATATTACAGCAAAATTATCATCTGGGCAGCTTTACTTAGTACGCGGGCTACCATCTCATTAGTAAAATTTTGGGTGATTTGGGGAGAAATTTACCTATTCCGACCCTAAATTTTGGTCGATCTGCTGAATTTACTAATTTATCCATTAATTATACGTACGTACGTACGTATACGTAGTGAAGTTTCTTAGGTCGTAGTTCCGCATTAGCCAGCATTTATGTATAAGCTGCTCATATCCATATATTACCACATTAGGTAAATTGCTTAAATTGTTTACAATGAAAAATTCTACGTACTGTACGTACGTAACACTGCTGCTGGGGTGTATCCTATCGGTTGATTTACACTAAATGCTAATGTTATCGTACGTATTACATTTCTGCGCTAAAAAAGGTATTGTGGCGCTGAAAATGGTGATAAGTTCTCGAATCGGTGATCAGATTTGGATCATCTTATTTTGAACACTAACTGAATCTTGAAATATTGTTGATACCTTCTTTGCTTTATATTTACGAGTCTCTGGTCCAATGCACAAGTATCAAATGTACCTGTATAGCAGTCGGAAAATTTCTTACGTAGTAAATGTTTATACCAAGTGTATCAGAAACGAAACTTTCGTATGACTTTAATTTCGATTATCAATTGATAATCGTAAAAATACAATTACAGAATTACAATAATGGAATTACAATAAATGCGAAACATGCGAAACGGGTTTTATATAACAATGTGCATCATAAATTGCTGCAATGAGCTGCAATAATTACAGAATTATTGAAAAAATCACATGATCATAATTATAAATTATCAAGATCGGGTTTATCTACGTACTCACTTTAGAAAATATGCATTTAAATAAATAAAGGCGTTTGAACGCCATTGACTTGCTTGAAAATCATTTCGTGGCAAAATGTCAAGGACTCTGTCGACGACTCCCGAACCGATAGAAGAACCTACTCACGTTACTTTTCTTCTCCCTTCCAAAAAAACTCCTTCTTCTTCTAGCAGAGCCTCTTCCTTAATATCGGTTTCTTCAACTAGTTTTTCTTTAAAACAACCAGGTTATCATGCACTGTATCAACCCTCATGGCGTGAACAATTGGCTGTCGAACTTGATAGTTCAGAAATTGGTAGCATATGGAAACTCGTGGACGCTTTCCTCAATATTTTACTTTGTCTGATTTATATTGCTCATACTGGTTATATGAAGGAGCCTTCATTACCAACGTTTAACGTGTTTTTTGAAATTGTGGTGGCCATCCTATTAGTTATGGAATATGTTCCAAAGTTTTATATATATGAATTCGAATCATGGAAATCATTGTTTACCAAAGTTTCACCTATCCTTACAGCTTTGACCGTTTATCCCGTGTTTGCTATTGCAATGGATCCGGTTTTTAAAGAAACCCGTTATATTGTCTTTTTTTATCCTTTTCGTTTTATTCGATGTTATTTATCCGTGCGTGATTGTCTAGTAAGGAGTGAAAAATCAGTTTTAAAACTTGGCCAAGTTACTAGCAAGACTTTGATCTTTTTTTCAACAGTTTTGTTTCTTATTTTGGCTGGTTCTTCATTATTACATGGCGTTGAATATGCCTACATGGTGAGTAGCTTTCAAATTTGATTTATTCAATCTCTCTGAACAATTACGCGTAAAATTTAAATCACTTTAACCGTAGGATGCACAAAATATTACTTTCTTGGATGGTACTTAACTATGGCCATTTGGTTCTTACATAATTTATTATTATAAACTTATTAATTTTTTGTTATAAACAGCCGTTTTTTTCACAACTATTATGTTGGGTACTGTCGGTTATCTAAGTGACATAGTACCTGATAATGCTTTTCCAAGAATTCTTCTTTTAGTGATATTTACTACGGGTCTCATCTTGATTCCGGTAACATTTATAATTTATTAGCATTTAAGATATATTTCTTTATGATAATTATGTTTATAATCCTTAATTTTTAGTATGCCATATCAGAATTGACCATGTTGATACGCTCAAAATCCATTTATGACAAACCATTCCGTAAAATTTCACAACAACCACACGTTATTATAATAACACCAACTATAGAACTACCATCGTTAAGACATTTTTTGAAAGAGTTTTATTCTTTAGCTCATGGATCCGCAACTTTCAATACAAAAGTAAAGCATTCTTAAGGCCCTTTTGCATATTATGTATATTACTATATTACTATTATAATTAATTATCTGTTTACCATTTACGAAGGTTGTAATATTAAATCCTCTGGATCCAACCGATCGCGTCAAAACATTTTTATCTGATCCCGTCTTTGCACATCGTGTACAATATATTCGTGGAAGTTCTCTTGATGCACGTAACCTAGAAAAGGTCGATGCAAAAAATGCTTGCGCTTATTTTATTTTGGCTAAAAAATATACTCAACAAAGCGAAATAATTGATGCAGAGAACGTGTTAAAAGCAATAGTACTTATAAATATTTCTTTATTTCAAGTTGAATTCCAATAATATTTATGTATATCCATATTTTATTATTTTTTTATGTAGGCTTTAAGTAAATTTGATGAAGGTCCAAGACTTTATATTCAATGTATTCTTCCAGAAAATAAAATTCACTTCGAAAGTTTAAGTAAGCTAAAAATAAAAATTTTCTATTATTGAAGGCATGATTAATAATTATTAATTAATTATTTGTCTATTTAGACCCGGAGCAAATTATTTGTATCGATGAATTGAAATTAGCCATTCTTGCTCATTCGTGCCTGACCCCTGGATTTTCCACACTTTTATATGGACTTACCACATCATTTACCTTTGAGTCAGCGCATGAATTAAGACGCGGGACCAGGAAACGACACTCTTCTGTCGGCTTGGATAGTGACGCTATCGAGGATTATATTACCGGATTTTCCCAGTCAATTTACACTACCACTTTATCCGATCATTTCTCTGGGCATAATTTCTTGACAGTTACTGGTGACTTTTCTTATTTTTATTTTTGTGTTCTTTTAGATTATTTTAGAGTATATTCATTTCATTTTTATTTTAATTTGGATTGTAGAACGTCTTTACGAAGACTTAGGTGTCGTATTATTTGCACTTGGAATTCCGAAACAACATTCGTTTGGCAAATTATCCGCTCGCTGGATGCTCGATCAAAATGACTACGACGTGGATGGTCCCAAAAACTACACGGTATTGATTAATCCGGATGATTATATTTTAAATGGTAATGAAATTGGATTTGTCATTGCGTTGGATGGTTCTCTTGCAGATGGTGTTTCTACTTATGAATGGCGTAGTGGACAAAAACAACATAAGGTCATACCTGTTCATCCTGAACAACAGCCACTACTGACAAATGATATACTGAGAAATAATAGTGGAGGTTCTTATTCCGATAAGAAAAAAGGTCATCACTCAGCCACATCAATGACATCTGACATGCCACATCATGAATATCCACATAAACCTGATTATTTTACGTTGAGGCGTCAGCGCGCGTTTTCAACACCTCTTGCACTTGCTGTGGATCACGAAACTCTACATGATTATTCTTCATCTAATATTACATTATCTTCACGTGCTCATGACGTAGAAAGCATAAATTCTGTAATAGATACAATCACTGGGCACATTCTTTTGTGTGATTACTCTCAGACGACTTTTCCACGCAATCTTGATTGCTTTGTCAGTCCATTGCGTAAACCTTATTTAGAAAAAATTACACCGATTGTGATTTTGTCACCTGCAAGGCCAACCCAGAGCCAATGGAAAATACTATGTCAATTTGATCAAGTATATTTTGTGCAAGGAAATCCCATGATGCGAGAGGGTTTGGACTGTGGGCGAGTGAGATTCGCAAAGCAAGCGGTTATTTTAGCAGACTCTACCAGATTGTTGAGGTATATTCCCGTTGTTTTTCATATTTTGAGTAAGTTTTGTTTAAATTAATAACTTGGAAATTATTAAATAATTTATAGAAATGGTGAAAAGACTGAGGATGCATCAGCAATGTTAGTATTTTTAAACATTAAAGCAATGTGTAAAAAAATTGATGTTTTTGTAGAATTTGTTCACATGGATAATATGAAATTTATGTCTGAAGATGCTTCAGCCATCGATAAGAGTATGCAGGGTAAGTATTCTGTGTGATTAATTAATATATTATAAATAAATAAGTCTTTATTTATTTCTTTCTTTCTTTCTTTTTATTTCTTTTTAAGCCCATCATTCACCTGCCTTTATGGCTGGAACTTGCTTTTCTTTGTCAATGCTTGATAGTATTATTTGCCAATCATTTTATCAACCACATATTGTGACCATAATTGAACAAATGCTTTTTGGTGCACCACCATTACACCTACTCTCTGGTTCAACTTGCCCCGCGCCATCACATTCCCACTTTTATCAGATTCCAATACATTCATTTGTTGGATATCGATACGGGGAGTTGTTTCGCTCCATGGTGCAAAAGAAAGTTATACCTCTAGGGTTGTACCGCACTAAAAAAGTTAAAACTGTAAATGGCAATGAAAAAGAGTTAAAATATGTATATGCATGTCCCAAATCTAACGTTTTATTACGAGATGATGACAAGGTATTTGTATTGAGCAAAAAATTGCCTACTGGTTTTTGATAAAATATATAATTTAGTGTTATTTTGGTTCGGATTTTTCGAAGCTATGCAAAACGGTTTAAAGTATTATTGTATATAACAAATTTATTTTAAAATTATTGTTTATTTATTATTAAAAAAAAAAACTTTAATAAAAAAAAATAAGAACATAGATTAACATTTCAAAAATTAGCTTAGTGTTTGATGCTTGGTAAAAATGTTTGGTATTTTTTAAAAATAGAGGTTTTTTTCTAAATTAAAAATAGATCGTGTAAATTGTATATACTAGTAATATTTAAACCTAAATAATTACAGTTTAGTATATATACAGTAAGATATAAAAAAATTTTATTAGTTATTTTGAAAACAGTATAAAGAAAAATAAAATAAATATTATTATTATCTTTTAATAGTATACTAAATTTCAAATTCTTTAGTTTACAACTCTTTTTGATGATCTCTTAATTAACAACAATTACACCAAACTATAGCAAACAATATAAAAAAGCAACAAAGTAGACACAACAATACTTTTGGTTTTGCATAATCAAACTTGTTATCAATGAAGTTTACAACATATGAAATACCAAAAAGTAGGTATATAAGAATATTAGGTGGGTTTGTATCTTGGGTTAAATTTTTGCTTAACAGATCCTTTCACATATTTGGTATCAAAACCAGAAAGTTTTTTTAGAAACAAGTAGAGAAACATTGGTATCTAGTTAAAAATATTTAATAAAAACTAAGGAACTATAGTATATACTTTTGTTAGTTACTATTTTGTTTCAAAAAAATTTTAAAAAAATAGATATCTTAGCTTATCTTTTCTAACAAATTAATATATAATTTTTAAAATAATCAGTATTTTTTATTTTTCTATATAGATGTTTATTATATATGAATGTTGTCAAAAGAAAATCTGACAATCTAAAAATAGATTATACAAATCATTTATGAATTTTATAAGTGATTTATGTGATCTATTTTTAAATTGTTAGGTTTTTTTTTAATGACACTCATATTGTTTATTTATAATAAACTGATAAATTGTAGTTAGTTATTTAGAGTAAACTGTATTTTAAAAAAATCAGGTAACTGAGATAATATATAATAATGAACTTATAAGAAAAAAATTTAACAAAATAACTGTTCAATGTAAATAAGTATGTCTCAACTTCTGTAAACTGTATTATAACACTTTAAGATAGTTTTTCTAGTTTAGTACAATATATACAGTATATCTATTTTTTTATAATTCAGCTATTCTGCTTTTTGTTTATTTAAAATTAAATTATTTAAAAAATTTATACAAAATTTTTATTTATGATTGTAATTAATTTAACTAAAACAAAGGCTTGTCTGTGTTTAAGCCAAACATAATCTGTTTTAGTGACAACTGGTTTTTCTTTAGGTCTTTAACTTTTTCCTTTTGTTTATTGATTTGTAGTTATATGCTTGTTAAGAAGCAAAATTAAACAAAAATATAACTTAAAACTAAAAGAAAATACAAAGATATAGAGGATATAATATAACAAAATATATAACAAAAAAGAAAGAAGTAAAGTGTATATCAAAAAAAAACAAAATAAAATAATTTTGCTAAGGGTTATCCATAATTTACATAAAAAAATATATATAGTAAAGATCTGCACAAATATAAAAAATAACAAAATCAATGATATCTTGTGACTCAGTGATCTAATTTTAACGATTTTGATATCATTTGAACCGTTTCATCGAGATGTATCGAATGGTATCAAAATTGTTAAATTTGAATTACTAGAGCACAAGATAATTACATTTAACTAAAATTGTAAAATATTTAATTATCTCAGTAACCTATAATCCAAATTTAATAATTTTGATATCATTCGATTCATCTCGATGAGACGATTCTAATGGTATCAAAAACATTAAAATCAGATTACTAAATCACGAGATAATTACAAAAAACTATCTATAGTACAGTTTTTTAAATTATGTACTTTAGTACGTTGTAAATAGTTTTTTTTATGAATATCTCATAATCTAGTGATCTGATTTTATGTTTTTGCTACCATTTGAATCGTCTCATTAAGACAAATCAAATGACATCAAAATCGTTAGATTTGGATTATCAGTTATCGAAATAATTATATTTAATTAAAATTTTAAAATATTTAATTATCTCAGTAACCAATAATCCAAAATTAACGATTTTGATGTCATTCGATTCGTCTCAATGAGACGATTCGAAA